AATATCAGCAAGAGAAAAAATCCTCCCAGCTCAAAGCTGGCAACAAGCTGTCAGGTTGTTTCATATGGTAATACTGACAACTGCCAACTTTGCTCAGAGGACTTTTTTCTGGAGATGATCCCTTTGGTTCCTGTGCTTCCATTCTGTAGTGCTGGAGATCCTTTGTGTCCTGGGCTTGTTACTGGTAACAATTTTGGCATGGTGAGGCACAGTGAGGAAGGCACATGGGATGGTTTTGATCCACAGGTGCCAGCACAGGCCAGTAAAGACAGCACTCTGGGAAAGCAGCTTCTTTATTTCTTTGATGGAGAAAGGGAGATATGTATGTGATGGGTAGATGATTGTTTGACAGACATGATTCAGCTTTTTTTTTTTTAAAATACTGTGAGATTTCAATGGAAATGAGTTAAAGATAATACCTAATATAGCGAAAATGGTAAGTAAGGGATGGAACAAAGTGCTAGAGCTATGGGGTTGCTGGCATTCATGGTGAACATAATTCTCATGAATTTTGGTCATCTTGTGCCTCTCTGCTTTCCTTCTGCACCCAGTGTAATTCCTTTAGGGAAGTGATTGCATTGTAATTAACATTTGCCCTTGCACAGGACTTTATGCGGTGTGTGAAATGATAGATGTGCCATTTGGTAAGGAGGTGATGGATTTCTGAAGAAACAGGAATGATGAAGCATGAGTATAAAAAATGGTTTAGCTCACTAGTTAATTATTATTTGTGCTTATGTCATTCTGTTCTTATAAATGGAAATCTAAATATTCCTACCATAATCATCACCACCAAAAGCTGTGATCCATTAGATCCATCTTCCAGAGTGGATGAAATGTGTAGAAAAAGCCTTAACTCAGCCTCTTACTCCAGAGCTCTTGAGGAAAAAATGGCATAATTAAGGGCCCTTTATTACAAGACAAGGGTTTTTCAGGCAAAGTGAGGTTTTGCCTCTCATTTAACACAGGGTAACGCTGTTTGCCCTGCTGCCTGCTGTGGTGTAATTGCAGCCATTTTCAGGATGTGCATTCCCATACGGTGCTTAACACCCTTGAATAATATGATGAGGGAGAAGCAGATCCTAGCAGACCCAAGACATGTAAAGCTTTCCAGTTGCAAGAAAGTGCAGGAAATTGCATCCAAATGCCCAGAGGAGACCACTGAACCTGTGCTGAGCCGTGTTTCTGATGTCTAGCATCATTTCTCAGGTGACTGAACATAGGTTGGCTGTGGTAAGGGTTGTTGAGCAGGGAAGATGTGTGTGTACTGTCATTTCAAGCTGGTTAACATCTGGATCATCAGACCCAGGCACCTGTTGGACCCTAATGCTCAGGGAGGCCAGTGTGTAATTTTTTGTCTATGCTGCTAAGGAGCCTTAGCCAACCTTAGATCATATCCATTGCGTCCTCAGGGCTAGAAGCTGAACACACTGATAGCTGTGGACAACAGTAGCCTTTATTTAAGACTGTGTTTTGCAATACCAATACCAATTCAGGCAGTCTTGGTTTTCAACTGTGTGCAAAAATATTGCTAGTCAGATCATCACATTTGCGTGGTGGAGAGGCATTGGAGCTTTAAAGTAAATATTTTCTGTTAACTAAGTGCTCTCACGGAAGAAAAAGAAAACCAACTCACAGTTTCACCATTTAAAAATTAGTGACTATACAAGTGCATCTGAAAGCCCTTATTTTTATAATAATTTATGCATAAAGTATGCAAAATACCTAGCTGCCTCCAAAGCAGCTGTGCCACTCTGCTGTGCAAAAAGTGTCCTCTATAAAGGCAAGAAAAGCAAGTGTAAGTTCCTACAGTATAGCACTGATGATCTTCTTAATTACATAATTACTTAGTCCTCATCAAACAAGTATCAATGTTAACAAGGATATTACAGACCTCTATTATTATTATCCTCTTAATTTAGAGTTTGCATTACTATAGTATCAGGAAAACAGGGCTGAATGTCAGCTGGACCAACAGAGGAACTGTGCATCTTATGTGTCTGCAGCATGGCATATAGGAATACATGGATGGCCACCACCTACTTGCATTGGCAATATGGGATATACACCTGGATGCAGGCACCTTAAGTAGAACGTATAGGCCATGGTAATGATGAAATCAGACTGACCATGGTATGCATTTGCCTAGACGCAATTGTATCCTACTCCCTCTTGATTTTAGCAGTGAGATGATTTTGGTGAGAAGTTCAGAGCTGAAGTTAGCTGCTGAATCTAGACGTTTGCCCATTAGCTTCTCTTTTACAAAGTGAGTATAACAATGCATTGCTTAGGCTTGTGGGAGGATAAATATATTTGATTATCTGGCATGGGGTAGTACAGTGATAAGATTGAAGGATTAGTTGGAGGAAAGATTTTTTTCTTTGCTATTGGTACTTTTGGAAGTAGACTTTGAAAGCTAGTATGCTCTGGTGTTGATATCTCCCCCTGTCAATGGGGAGTAACTATTTAGGACACTGAACACTGATGTAAAACTTGTGTCAGCATTGCTGGAATGGGGGACTGTATGTGTACTGGGGCCCAGGATTCAAAATCAAAATTGGCCTTTGAAGACCTGTAAAACCACGGGGTTGTGTGGTGCTTTCCCTAGCATGGCTGGCAGGCAGGAATGTTGCTGTGGGATGGAGATGGGAGGCTGAGGGTGTATCAAAAAAATGCTATAAAACAGTTGTAAGGAAGGGGTCATACAGGGATTATTTTATTCAGAATAATAGGCTTCATTGAATAATGTTGGTGGTGCTGCATCTTAGTGAGGCTGTCGAATTTAGGAGATGGACATTGCACTGTGCTGCCGGGCATTGCACTGAATAGCATCTGCAAAAGTTTTGCAATGTAATCCGATGTATTAAGGTGAAGTGGAGAGAAATAACAGAAAACTGCTCATCTTTTAAAATAGTAAATCAGGTATTTGGGTACTGGACTTATATCTAATTATATTTAATATCTCTATATTGGAGTTCATGTTGAATGTCTCCTGAATGATATCGCTTTAGTAATGTTAAAATAATAATCTTGCAGGACTACCTCATTCCAAACATTCATTGAAGAAGGTGCAGCTAGCCTCAGCATGAAAACATGAGTATCGATGTTTTTCCAGGATCAAGGCCTCATAGAATCATAGAATCGTTTATGTTGGAAAAGACCTTTAAGATCATCAAGTCCAACTGTAAACCAAACACTGTCACCTCCAGGGATGGTGACTCTACCACTTTCCTGGGCAGCCTGTTCCAATGCTTTACAGTCCTTTCAGAGAGACAATTTTCCTAATACCTAATCTAATCCTCCTCTGGCAAATTTGAGGCCATTTCCCCTTGTCTTACTGCTTGGTACTTGGGAGAAGAGGCTGACACCCACCTCACTAGTCTTCTTTAAAATTAGAGTTTAGAGGCATATTGTATATGCTTAGATTAATAATAATCTAGCATAGAACAGACCATAGGGAAAATTAGATCTCTTAAGCAAGCCTTCGGTTCCTAAAGGCAGATGTTCCTTTCTGGACATATTTAACATACAGTCACGATAATCTGACTGTATGCTAAATATAATCTTTTATATGCAATGTAATAATTTTATTTTAGAAAGGTCCTTGGTTTTAAACAGGCAAAAGACTTATGTAACAATATTGCTAAATCAATCAAAAATGGCTTATGTATGTACAAATACAGTAATGCACTTTTTATATATAAAAATATATAGTGCTTAGACCCTTTTATTAGAGGATATTTTTCAACACTGAGGAGTAAAAATAGAAATAAAAATAACAGTTGAACCACCTACCTCACCTTTAGGACTGAGAAAAAATATTTCTGTATATCAAATTGATCTCTATGAAATCTACTAAAAACTTTTCCAGATTTACACACATGGGACAATTAAGTAAATAAGCATTGCATGACTGTAGTAACATAACAGGAAATGTCTGGAGAAATGCAGTTCATAAAAGAGAAGGTGAATAAATGCAATTTGACCTACTTAGACCTCTCAAGAAATTGGGTAATTTCACCTTCAACCTCTGTAGCATCATTTTTCCCATTTCTTGTAAAAAGGAAGACTAAATTAAAACTATTGAAGTGTATATATACCTTTAGAGATTTCTTCAGAGATTATTTAAATCCTCTTACTGTCAAGAGATGCACAGTATTTTATTTCCTTCAGAACCTTTTGCAAATGATCTTTACTGCCAGTTCCGCCTGCCAAAAATAATTAAAATCTGGGAAAAGTGAAATGCCCTTGGTAGCACTCCTCTGCCTTTGTTTTTTAAAGGTGAGGAGGAAGGTTCATACTTGGCACTTCAACGTTTGCTCATTAAATAGGGATGCTCTGAGAAATCTTTGTTTGCTTAACTACAGGCATTAAGGATTATTGATGAAGAGTCTTAAAACTTTACAGGCTGAAAAAGGCAACAGCAGCTCTAGATGCTGGCCAGCAGGGGATCCAACCTATTCTGTAGGTGATCAGCTTCCTGAGCTGAGACATCCCCGCCAACTAAGGAGCTGATCCAGCTCACCTCTCTGTCCTGTCCCATCTCTGTCGTATTTGCAGCTCATGCAACTACCCCAGCTGAAAGTTGGGTGGGGAAGAGCAAAGACAAGTAAATTGTATTTCTAAGGCAGACTAATCTCTTCTCATTAGACCCTCCCAAGCAGAGGACCCTTTCCCTGTAGAGAAGTGTCACAACAGGTGTCACAAATGCAGTGCAAATTATTTATGTAGTATTTCCTTATCAGCACAAATTTGTTCTGTTGCATACCAAGACATGCAAAACAATAAATCGTAGGGTTTTTTAGATGACCTTCTTTTCTAGGTATCATATTGTGATGGTTTAAACCAAGTCAGCAACTAAGTACCACGCAGCCACTCACTTGCCACCAGCTTTTCCTCTTACTGGGTGGGATGGGAAGGACAATTGGAAGAAAGTAAAACCCCCAGGGATGGGGAGATGATTTACAGAGAGATGGATTTTCTATGCCAGGTTACGAAAAATGTGCTCAAAACCGGAAAACGAGTCTCAGCAGCTACCAGTGTTGACGCAGGGAAGCACCACAGGTGAGGAGAATGTTTGAGGTGCAACTTCAAAGCTGGGAAGATCTGAGTAGGTTCCCTTTAAATATTTGCTAAAGGGCCCCCATGCAGTAACCTGTAAGAGAAGAGGAGTGTTTAGATGAACTCAACCATGTGTCTTTCTTTACCATTTCTGATAGGAGGCAAAGGCAGGCTTTGATTTCCAACATAGAGATAATGCTGGTTTTCTCTGGGCTGACTTTACAGCATGTAGGCTCCTGAATCCTGGCTTAGTGAGATACTACTGGGTAATGCTTTCAGTGATTTTGCAGGCTTGATCCAATGATTTATTCTATCCTTAATTTCTTGAATATACATACTCTTCTAAGAAAAACTTTCCAGCATGCTGTATCATAAGACACAGAACTAGAATTTCTCTTCTGGCTGTATATTTTCTACAAATTGTCTCTGCCAAAGAGTAGATTTTTTGCAGAGAAGGTAATATGTGCCAGTTGCTTCAGACAATCTGGTTTTGCCATGGTATTATTCACTTTTTTCAACCTGGAAGGTGTCAGAGGTGAATCTCTCTTTTCCCAACCTTACAGGGAACTGTGTCACATTTTTAGTTAGCCTCTGTCTTCTGTGTAGGTTTGCATGGCCACTTGGGTCATATGCATTGTAACTGCATATGCAGTCTAGCTGCAACTACTTGTTGGGGACAGTTCCAGCTTCTCTTTACATTTGTAGTCACAGTAATTTGCAGGTGCATTTAACGTCAGACAGAAAGACAAGAGACATTGTGCATTCACATACCTGATGAGCTGAGTTCATGATAAATCAGCAACTGTTCTTCAGAAGGATGAGGGATGTTCCACTTAGAAGAAGTGACAATTCATCAAGCTTTCCCTTCTACAGCAGTCCAAAAGAATGGAAAAAGCTGAAAAAAAAAGTCAGGTGGCATTCATCAATCTAGACGTTTTTATAATACACATGCTCTTTGACTGTTGATATATATCCAAATGCATATAAAGATAGAGAAAACCTTTCTGTAACTAAGCAGGTGTGATGCAACAATCAGTAAAGCAAGGTAAAAACCTACCATTGCAAAGAGCTTTGTTTCTGGAGATCACATACTGTATTAATCCGCTGTGTTTTCTAAAACTGAAACCTCGTGTTCGACTTTGCTGCATATTGTGTGACCTTGTTTGATGTGTTCTTGTTTGCCAAGACAAAAAATCCTAAGACTTTGCTAAAACAAACAACATCACATTTCTGATGAACTTCAGCATCTAATTTTACATGGATGTAGTAAAAAGCACTGTGAGAAATTGAAGTACAATTTTTCTATTATACAGGTTTTAGGAAAGCACCTTTATTTTTTTGTTAATGTGACCTCTCAAATAGGTGTGGTGAACAATGGTAAATTAGTATGAAAGAAAGTGAGTTTTCTTAAATGAGGTAGAAATGTGTTGTTGTGTAGAGGGAAGACATTATGCACTGAGAGAGGGAAGACATTATTTCCTTTCACAGTGGGTTATTTCTTGCCATTTGTAGGCTGGCGTTGTTTTTCAAAAAAGCAATATGGAAATGCATAGCTGCATTGTGCTATAAAGCACCTCTGAACAAAGATTATTAAAAATGAAAGGCACATTTCTGTGTATTTGATAATGTCAAGAGCAGAAGTAGTGCTGCACATTGGTGTTATGAGATACCAGAATAATTCTCTTTTCTGCAAAATCTATAATGCATAATGGAAGAATGTGATTTTGGGCTTGCTTGCAAGGGTAATTACATTGTGAGTCAATAAGGCACCTTACACTTGCTTGACTTTAAAAGAATCTTTCCATCTACCACTATTTAAGACAGCACCAGTAAAGGTGTGTATTTAAGTTTTTGCTTAAACGCTTCGCCAAATTCAGCTTTCAGTCTCCATCAAACAGTGTTCACTGTATCACACTTGTAATGATATGCTGAGGTTTATGCCTTTTCAGTTGGAAAGGCTTACTTAAAGCATGTGATTTTCTCAAATATGACATGTCATTCTTTGGAATTGCACAACTCAACTTGCTCAGCTTGACAGTAATGGTGACACACATGGAAAGAGGAGAATCAAACCAGAACAGAAGGTACCTCCAGGAATGGGTTTGCTTCCTATTCTGCCATGTCTTCCTCCTGCCCTAGTCATGTGCCTTCAGCAATGGGACTTTCTGTTGTTCACTAATCAGTTTTTCTCTTATTGGAATCGTTAGTGACTGGCATCCAGAATTGATGTGACATACCCAAGTTGTCTGCTGGGACTGGCTGTGAAAGTGGACTGTGAAATGCCACTCTGAATCTTTCTTGTGCACATCTTGGCTTTTGACATAGGACCCTATTTGTATAGATAGCTCCTTGACAGGCTTCCCAGGTTCCTTTCTTCTCCATTTCATTTATTCTTTGGGACTGAGGCCATTCTTTACTCATAGCAGATGCTAATTAAGATAATCTTACAGGAGTTCCGCATGATTCTTTGGATAGTGCCTTCAGGGTATACTGGCAGGCTGAAGCTATATTTGAAAATTAGTTTGGATTAGGATAGAGTGTAGAGTTAAAATGCACTGTCTGTTTTTAAATAATTCCATGGGTGGACATTATCTCTGTGGCCAATTTTGTAAATTAATGCACACTGAGTGTCTGTATGAGCTGTATGGGTAAATTCAAGAAATAACTCTGTACATGCATGTGTGCAAGAGTGTATGCATAAATAGAATTTTTCAATTTACACCTATGTATTTGCAGTAACTTGTAACCATGCATAAAATTCTTTGATGTTATCCTTGAATTACAAGTAGCTTTTACTGGAGCTTACATATTTATTTTTAATCACCTTTTTTTTTCTTTCAGCTCTTCTTTATGCAACTATTTTTGGAAATGTCACCACCATTTTCCAGCAAATGTATGCCAACACCAACCGATACCATGAGATGCTGAACAATGTGAGGGATTTCCTAAAATTATATCAAGTCCCAAAAGGCCTTAGTGAAAGAGTCATGGATTATATTGTCTCAACCTGGTCCATGTCTAAAGGAATTGACACAGAGAAGGTATGAGTGCATGAGGTAACAATTTAGACAGCAAGAGTTTTGTGTCCATTGTGTACATTCTTAGACACAGGACTGTATAACAGCATATAACTTACTAACAAGTCCTTAACTGCATGCTTCTCCATTATTCTGTTTGTTTTGATCAAAACCTGGATGTTTTAAAAAAGGACTGTTTTGCTGCTTTGGAAATATGCCTTTATTTTCCATTATGGTAAATGTTTTCAGATTTCCAGTGGTTCTTTGCCTAAATGCTAAATAATTTTAATATATTTCACAACTGAAATCAATGGGAAATTGGTCTTCAAATTAGTCCGTGAACGTTATTTGGTGTCTAACCTACATTGATATTATTCTGAAAATTATTGGCATCTGTGAGCTGCAATGAAATGAGTTTGATTGGCTTGGACCTTTGCTGATGCCCAGGACATCGACTTATCCATCAGCATAATTAGTATAGGATTTAATGGCAGTAGAGATTGATCTTCTTGAGATAAAATCTCTCAGCTAGATCTTAAGGTCTTTGGTAGGGAGATACAGAAAATGTGCCACTGCTGGCAGCCATGTGGGGTAGAAGTTCTACAGGACATTAGCCTTCAGAAAGGACTGGTCATTTAGGTTTCTTCAAAAGCTGATTAAAGTAGAAGGTCATCTTTGGAGAGTGATTCACTGTGTGCCAGGATAAACCAAGTGAATTGTCCTCAGGGCAGCTCTTTCTCCATGATATGTGCGATTAGCCTGTGTAGTCTTGGATATTTGAGAGAACTGAAGTCAAATGGGAAGGTTTCCACCTGCAATACCTTGAATGCAGGCAAGATAAAACAGTTTTAGGTCTAGACTTTTGGTTAGTGGAGATCAGCGATACTCCTGTGGCTTCTGTGGACCTGATACACATCAGCTGAAATTAGGCACTCAATCTCCAGTTTCTGTGAAGATTTCACTCCTGGGAACTTAAAAGGCATGAGGGAGGGTAAGAAAGTGTCATGGCAGATTAATATCTTAAAATGTCTAGTGCTTGCAGAGATTTGAAGTTCTTGCTTCAGTTGAGTCTATTGCAAGATATGTGATGAAGATGCAGCTTGCTCAGATATGCCAAGATAAAGTTGCTACACTGAAAAATTTAGTCCTATATCATACTGATGCAACAGCAGTTATCTTAATAATCATGGGCTATAAAATTTGGGTACCATCACAAATACAACTGTTTTCAGTAACAAGGATTTTGGTTTCTTTGATTCTTGTGCTTCAGTATGCTACATTCTCTAATATGTTAACTTCCTATACACTAATACTCTAACTTCCCAATCCTGATTCATACAGTGTTAAAAGTGAGCTTTTATAGTGTAAACTACTGTAAATGCATTCAGCCTTATCATGTAAACTCAAAACCATGTGGAAATTCAACTTTCATTTGCATTTATCTCCTTGCAGTTAAGCGATAATCCTGTATTATTCCACTACAGTTTCATTAGATTTTAATGATGCTTTGCAGTGAATTAGGAGAACCTATGCTTTAATTACTGAAATTTTCTTCCATAGTTTCCACATGTCTGCTTTTATAGATTATAAAAATGCAGTTAGAGCCATAATCTTCGACTCATGGTAAGCAGTGTTCTGTCATCTGTGAGATTGTAGTGGCTGCTTAGCTAGATAATTAATATGGCTGTAACATCTGCGACTTGGGTTTTTAACAATTTTCCCTTGGTAAAGACTTGCCCAGACTTAGGCCTGGATCCAAAACCTATTTAAAACAGTGGAAGGATTTCAGGAACCTCTGCATCTGGACATCAGTAGTTGCATCTAATCGAACTTCCCAGAAAAGCCCATGTTACAGAAGATCAGGAGACAAGATAAACGTAAGAACTTGAGCACCGGTTTGAATATTTTGGTGTTTTCTATCCCTTACAGCCTGCAAGTCTGTAAAAGCCACAGCAGCAGCGGCCGGTAGTGCCTGCACTGATCATCCCTGTGTCTGTACGAGTGTAAGGATTAGGCAGTTTGCTTTGAGCTGCAGGACCTTAGCCAAAGTCAGGATTTGTTTTAGCAAAACAGTGGAAAGCTGTGTTGTAGCCAGGCAGCCTTCCTACCTTTATCTCCACACAGGAAGGTGTTGTGGTGTGCTTCACCAAAACAAAAAAGAGAAAATGGTGTAAATCCCAGCTGAAAAATCATAGAAAGAGTGGTACAGTCCCAGCAACTAGTCATGTAGGGTGGATCATTTCTCTTGCATTAGGTCCTTCATTACCCTTCAAGCCACTTGTAAGACCCTTTGCATTTAAATGGAATCCATCTGTACTAAACCTAGAGCAGGAAGTGGATGGGAGTACACTGTAGGGACCTCCATAGTACACAAAGTCAGATTTATTAACATAGACACCATGGAGTAATGAGACTAAATTGGATTTAGCTGAGCTGCTAAATCCAGATAGTGCTCCAGTGTAGGTTGGAATGGGGGATTACTGCCCCAGGTCTTGAACTGCTTCTCTGCTCTGCTTTGTCTGACGGGCTGGACATGACCTTAGGGGTTTCTTCCAGTCTAGTTTTCAAAGCTCCAATAATGGGATTCTGACCAGTCTGTTGCCTGGATATCTTGTGATTTCCCATTCTCCTTAACTTTGATGAACTTTTGAATAAGTTTCTTATTATCTTGCAAAACACCTGTGCTTGTGACACATGATAATCAGTGAGGAATTTCTCAACTTTTCAGTTTCCATCATCCAGCTCAGTTTCCATCATCCAAGGATGTTTTTCAACCTAACATACAGGATTACATCCTAAGATGTTCCAAATATATCTGAAATGTGTTTGGCAACATCATTTACCTCAAATTGATATAATACATTTCATTCAGTCACTCAGCATGTTGAAATGGCTTTGTTTTGAAACCCAGATTCAAAGAACAAGAGGGCTAATGTACTAACAGAAAATGAAATTTCTTGTATGAGTGTTACAGTAAGTTCCTATGGTGATAAACAATCCTAGCAATTTGATGGAATAAAAATAAATACATGCCCGTATTTCTTTGATAACTATAGATTTTAAATTAGTATGCTTGAAATTAAAATATAATTTAATAACTTGATTGGAATTACTACCACTTAACATGTAGATTTGTTGCATCAGATCTCAATTATCTGTGCTAGAATGGCACATTCAGTGTGTATCCTCAAAAAAGTTCTTGGCTAAAACTGGTAGGGATGAGTCCTTAGACGGAACCTGAAGGCAAAGTGGAAGTTAGCATGGAGGAAGATAAATGAAGATCTAGTCCTTGCTGCTTGTGAGAGCAAGCTGTCCCAAACAGAACTTTATTTTAAAGCCCCAGTCTGTTGTCCTTGTATGTGGAAGAGGACTTGTTCTCCTGCACTGAAGTAACAGTGCTTACTTTGGCTTCCCTGTTCTCCTTGGGAATAGCTCATCTTCAAAGCTTGTCTTCAACCCACAGTGCTTCAGCCTGTCTCTGGGTGTTCACAAACAAGGAATTAACAATGACACTAAAAGCACTAGCATATTTATTGTTATTACTTAAGGGGAAGTAAGTGGCCTCTGATCTATAATCTTAAATCACTTAAACATGAGAGCCCTTCTCTGACAGCTGGATGATATATGTAATACATGCACATGAACTCTTATCTCCTGGTGTAACAGTGGCTCAAACAAGATGGATTTTTTTTCATGTTTAGTGCTACAGGTTTCAGGGTTATTCATCTAATAATGAGCAGAGCTAAATAGATGACAAAATTAAGAAGCCTTTATACACTAAACACTATCATCCAGCAGAACCTGGCGGTTTTTGAGAGAGGTAAAGAGAGACAGTATATACCCTGTGTATGACCATTTTTATGCAGCTGAAAAAAGTCTTTACAATTATAATTGGATATATGAAACATACACTGAATTCACATCTCTTAGTTTTTATTGAAATCGCTGCAGCAAATGAAAAATTTATAGGTATTAGCTCTTCTATAAGAAATAGGTCATTATACATGAAAGCAGAACAACCAAGATGCAGATGTCTCAAGGTGTCATCTAATGATAAAGTTCTGAAATGTCAGTAAAACCCAAAGATTTTCTCTTCTTGACCTCTCTGCTGTTGTATGGCTTAGGATTTGCTCAGAAGACAATTAAATAAATGTCTATCATGTTTTAACAGACAATTCTTTCAGAAAAGTCATAGGTTGAAAACGAAAAAAGGCATCTATTTAGTCTCAACCTAAGCATCAATGGCAATTGAATAATGAGAGCCAATTCCACATTGCAGTGACTAAAATGGAAATCATGGGAAAATTGTACATTATTAAAACTATTCACCACTGGCCCACTAAGCTTTCATACTGGAGAGATGGGTTTATGGTAAATAGAGAGAGGTTGTAACTTTATTAAACATCAATCTACATAAGGACAGAGTACTTTAGTCGTGTTTGCTGCTAATAAGATCTTCAAGAGATGTAGTAACAATTAGTGATACCCTGAGATGAATAGGGGAATCAGACTGCCATTCCTAGGGTGTCTCATCGCATAGAGGTGTCTGTAATTGCTGGCTGGATTTCCTTGTGGATGATGGGGCTAGAAAGCTTCCAAGCTTCGTGGCTGAAGAGAACTTCTACAAAATTAGGTGTGACAGCTACAACCAATTCCCTGCTGAAGAGGGAAGGTAAAAATCGTTTGGACAAGTATTTTTGTTTCGTTGTAGAGGCGGGGTTGTTGGTCGTTCCTTGCAGATCGGGACGAGGTGAACAAGAAGTCTTCCTTCACCTCGCACAGCTGAGCTAGGACCAGGTACAGTTGCAATCCACTGTTTGGAGAGCGGGATGCAGGAGAGATGGTCAGGGTGTCACTGTTCTTCACACGGGTCCAAGACTGGGGCCTGTGCACCAGTGGGGCTTTCTGTTTCACCTGTATGGATGGTATGGATTATTTACTGCTGTATGCACTGTGCAGAGCCAAGGAAGACACACTATTATCTCTGCCTCTTGGATGTGTTCATCTTGGGATTGATACAGATT